GAGACCCCTCTGCAAGGGGATCTCCAGTGGCCTACTAATGGGCTTTGGGTCTCCACTGCGCTCACCCCATCATTCACTATGGTAAGATTTTTTTGTTCTGATGATACATTCTTTATACCTGATCTGATCCCTTCAACACCTTGTGATCGCACAGGCTGGTGTGCTTCTTCCATGTGGGCTTGTTGCTTCTGAGCTAGATGGCCCCTTGTTTGCCTTCAAACCTCTAAGACCCCAGATGCTGTACCTTTTGATAGCCGGGCACCATTAGCTTTCTTCACCACATTTGCTTATGCACCCATTTGTCTTCAGCGATTGTATCATGGAGGTGAGCACACAATGATAAGATTTTTTTGTTCTTTGACGCCTGATAACTGATCCCTTAGGCACCTCGTGATCACACAGGCTGATGTGTTCTTCCATGTGCACCATCGCTGTTATGCTTGAGATCATGGTGGGCGGTCACTGTGTCAGTCCATCTTATCAAGGAAGGCTTCTTTTCTTTTTTTGCTGCTCTTCTACTTTCCCAAGCATGATATCCTTTTCCAGGCACTGGTCTCCTGATAATATGTCCAAAGTACACGAGACTTAAGTTTTGCTGTCCTTGCTTCTCAGAACCCTTTTAGTTGTATTTCTTCCAAGATAGACTTGTTTTCCTGGCAGTATTCCTAGCCAACACCATGCTTCAAATGCATCAATTCTTTTGCAGTATCCCTTATTCATTGTCCAACTTTCACACGCAGATCTGGTGATACAGTAGGACAGATATATATGTGACCTATAGCTATTAGATCAACTGGACTGCAAGTGGAATTCTTTTACTCCATAAGTTTATGGTGGTGATGAAGAAAGTGAAACAAATTACTGAGTCATTTCCAGCGCATAGTAACCCTTTAGGACAGAGTGGAACTGTCCCATTGGCAGAAAGCCTCATCTTTCCTCCTCACAGAGGCTGTTGGGTCTGAACCACAGACCTTTCGGTTAGCAGTCCAATGCTTACCCAAGAAGGACACCTGGGCTCCGTATGGGTGGAGAAGGGAAGGCAAAAAAGCCTGAAGTCCATGTTATTACAAGTTATGAAAATGCACTTTGTCCCCACCTGCTCATTTACTGAATAGTTTCCAAAGCTGCCCTTAACTTCACCTGATCTCCTTACCTATTCAAGGGGAAGAATGTTGTTACAGAGTTGAATGTTAGACATTTCAACATATATCCTCATCACATATCTGTCTTAGCTCTTTTAACTGATATAATAGGACCTATTAGGGAGAAGACTGGATGTGTTAGCCGGGAGACTAAGCTGATTTTGGCTAAGGAAAAAATACAAAGCATCGTGCCTCAGTTTTTCCCTGTGTGAAACGGGGCACAATATTCTTAGGAGGTAACATAATGACAACCCCACAGAGTGAAAACAAACAGAAAAAACTTTGTGAGGATAGAGACTATTGTTACTTTTTAAAAAAAAAAATGAAGCCAAAATAACCCAAATCTTTGGTAATGTGTCGATTTGGACACACGGCAACCCTATGGGACAGAGGAGAACCTTCCCAGGGGATTTTCAAGGTTATAAATCTTCACAGAAACAGACTGCCACATCTTTCTCCAGGAGAGTGGCTGGCCGGTTCAGACTGTTGAACTTTCACAGCCAAGCCCTTTCACCATTGTGCGAGCGGGGCTCCTTATGATTCCTTCATCTGTCAAAACCCAATGCAGTGCCATCATTTCGATTTCTACGTAAAATGACCCTACATAGGTTTTTCAGATCGCCTCCTTTTCCTCCCTTGGAGCAGCTGGTGGGTTTCCCACTCTGCCTCCAGGGCTCCTTCACAAAAGAAGAGTACTGTCGATCTAGGGATAAGCATGGAAACCTTCCCGACAAAGCATCAGCCTACGGTGCCCATCAGTGAAGTGAGAACTCTAAACAATGGTACCTCCATTCCCTTATGCTCCCATTTTCCTCTACTAAAATGTGCGCACTAGCAAAAAGGAATAAATAAATAACTAGATAGGGTTGCTCATGGCTTAGATTTTATGTAATTGATGCCCACCGAGAATACAGATTTGGGGTTCTACCACAAAGTTATTTGTACTGTTTTCACCCACTGCCACCCCTTGATTCATCAGAGCAGAACTGCCCCATAGGGCTTCCGAGGCGGTCAGTATTGACAACGCAGACTGCCTCATCTCGCTCCCCTGGAGCATCTTGTAGGTTTGAACGAACCACTGACCTTCCTTTGGTTGGCAGGCAAGTACTTTAACCACAAGGCTTCTTTGGTATTAGTTCCAAACTTGGTGCCTATCCAGTCCACCCCTGAAATGGCAAAGGTGCCTCATCTCTGAGATGTCCTGTACTATCTGAAGGAAGCATATCGCAGTGTTTTCTAGTAGTCAGGGCTGATAGCAGTTCTTATGTGATGTCTGTTTGTTTTTAGCATGTTGAATGTGATCTTTGGCTTTTATAGGGCTTTGAAACCATTTACTCAAGGAAGACTTCAACAACTTCTTAGCAAAATAGAATGGACAATAAGTACATACCAGTTGAGGGGCAAAGACTGGAGTTTGGGAAAACAGTAACCCCAAAAGACCATGCAGTTTGCATTTTCTGCAAATAAAAAAACTGGCTTTGTTAAAAGCAGGTGGAGAAAGTTACTTTTATGAAGAGGACAGCATGTGACTAGAGTCAGCAGACCTGGGTAAAGAGCACCTGCTCACTAGCACACACCTTACGGTATGTATGGGGCTGTTTCTGCTCTCTGCAAGGGGACCCATTCCTCCTCTTCCTCCTCCTCCACTTCCTCCTCCTCCTACAGCCAACCACCACCTCCAGTGCCCTCAGCTGTGGTGAAGGCTCTTTTGAGGGGTTTTAACTCTTCAGTGGTTTCTGGGGCAAGAACCCTCAAACATAGACTCTCTAGCATTCCAAAGCATGTTTCTAGTTCCAGTTTGAATAGAGGTTTGATTCAAAGGGGAACTCCATTAGCACCTTCTTTTCTGACTTCATTTGGTAGGTGTTAGTAATTATCTTAAAAGGAAAAAAGAAGAGAAATGACCATTCTAAATTGTGTATTAAAGATTTGAGGTTTGATTTAGACAAAATTCCAACAGGCTGGTTTTTTGTTTGTTTTCCCCTTCCCCTCCGGGCCTCATTCACTAAGCACCACAGAGATCATGGTAAATACACTTCTAGTAAGAGAGATTATTTGAGAGAGGGCTACGAACACAAAATAAATTTATGAGTTCAGGAGTGAAATTTTCTCTGAACCCACCTTTCTGAGCAGAAGAGACGGTTTTAAGGTGTAATGGCACACAAAATAATAAGTCTCTAGCTCCATTGAGCTGTATTGTAAACAAAGTATAAATATCTTTGCTTAAGATGAGTTGCGTTCGCCACTCTGATGTGTTCAAGAGTGCTTTATTATCAGGCGGCTTGTAATAGCATGTTAATCAGATGTGTGCGCTTCGCTCAGAATTTCATTAAAAAGGTAGCATCAGTTCACACACCCCGTCCAGTTCACAGGGGTCTGTGAAACAGAAACTTGATAGAAATATTTTGGAGGGGAAAGATAAAGCCACCCTGGCACCTGGCCTCCCTCCTGTTTTTGCCTCCCCACACCTAGCCCCTTGGAGGGTTTTCCCCAAAGCTGAGGAAGCTGCTGCAGTCTGGGCCATCCTCTCGGTCCCAGGGCTTGGCTGGATCTGGGAAGGGGCGGGGCGAGGAAGGGAGTGGTTCAAGACTGGAAGTTCCTTCCCCAGAGCTGGTGCTGAGTTTTCGGTCAGGAGATGAGCAGTCTGGGAAAACCTGAGGTGGGCCGCCCAGGGACAGACCTGCCCTCTGACCAGGCTGCCTGTAGGCAGCTGGGAGCTGGAATGGAGGAGAGCGGTTGGAGAGACTGCTGCAGTTCCTGCCGTTGTTTGCTTGCCTGGCTCTGAAGTTACTTGTTGGCTTATTCCCCTTCAGATTGTGACACTAAATGAATGCCTTCAGTAGAGTTGTAGTTGGCTTCGATGAGTATAATATATATGCTCATATATTTTTGGATCCGGAATATCTCCTATAGGCAAATAAAACTAAAAAGTCAGATGCTAAGTGACTTACTGTTTTATTGATTGACGGAAACCAGCCTAACTGGCTGAACTGTTGGGAGTCATTTGCTCAGACTTCTCCAGGTAGTAATTTTTGTTTGATCTCCTTTTGAAAGTTACTTGGAAAAGTAGGCGCTGTGTTCAATAGAGGAGCAGGCTAGTTCTCTTTTCGTTCTGTGTGAGCTCTCCTCTCTGTACTGCTGGAAGGGAAGGATGGGTGAACCGTCACTTCATCATTGCCTGACTCCTCCTCTTCCTCTCACAGCAGGGAGCTGCAGCTGCTGCGCCAGGCCTTGTGTACGTTGTGGGTATTTTTCCGGCATGATCTATGCGTTTTCAAGGGTAACCAGTGTAAATGCTTTAGTTTCTTTTCAAAAGCCCTCATGACTTAACTTATGCCCAGTCAGGAAGATTAATAATGTGAGCTGATTTTGCAGCGACACTAAATTAGACTTTTACACCTCCATCAGAAAGCATTCGACACCCTTTGTGCACTTTTAACTCAAGGATGTTAAAGACCTAAATCTTAGAGGAAAAAAAGAAAAGAAAGGAAAAGGACAGGCACTTTTCCAGTTTAAGCTGCATGTTGGTCCATGTTAATTAGACATTTGTCCCCTAGGCTGGAGGTGATAGAAAGTGCCAGTTACTGTGGTATTTAACTGACAGCCAACTACTGTCCAAATAATTAAGCTGGGACCAGCCTTTTAATTGGTGGGAAGGACAATTTGGCATATTCCCCAAATAAGGAGAAAACTAACATTAAACATTTAAAATAGAATTTTTTTAGAATCTGAAGAACACGTATATTTGTGTATATTGGTTAAAAAAATCTTGAACCACCAAAATGGTTAGCTTTTATAAGTCTTCAATAAGTGAACGTTTAGTAGTTTTTATCTGAGGTCCAAAAGTTATCTAATGATTTTATATATTTTATATGTTTATGTTTGTTTGGTGGTATTTTTTTTAATGTCCTGGTAGTTGATAAGTTTCAAAGTTCTTTGTTGATATTTTAAGCAGCAGCTTCTGAGTTGCTGGAAGAAATAGCCCTCAATGGCAAAAGTGTAGTTTACTATATTCAGGAGGTACATAAAAGACTCTCCCAAATATTGAAAAGATTATTTTCTAACTAAAGAGTAGCATTTGACCATAAACCTCACTCATTTTGTCTATGGTTTTTAGCCAACGGTTCACACTTAGGAGAATACTTCGTTTTTAGTACTGGACTACTTGTTCAGGCCCTGAATGAATGCAATATGTTAAACACTCCTGTATGGCCCTGAATTGCTTGGCTGCCCCTTGCCCTCCCTGCCTGGTACTGGCTGAAAAGGTACCATTGTTTGTTCTGCAAACACTGGGTGATGTTTGTTTCCAAGGAGACTGGTTCTATTGCTGCCCTTTAAGCAGGTGGGGGGGTGGGGGGAGTTGGCTTGAAACACCTGAGAGCATCCTGTCCTGATATAGTCAGTGGTGTGTATGTGTGTAAGTTGAAATTTTCTTTTAAGTGAAGTGATTGTAGAACAAAGGAATAACGTGGAAATAAGAGGGAATGGCATTTTTAAGGAAGTTAAAAAATAATCACTAAATTCAGATATTGAACTTCAATATGCTTAGAGTGAATGTAATAATAAAAGAATTAAAGATGATTAAACAGATGTTTCCAATTAGAAATTTTAAGGTTAAGGGAGGAAAATATTTTGAACGATTGCTGTTGAATATTAATTTTCAGATATAAAGTTATAAATATCCATTTAAACGAGTAAAAGTTAATTTAAGAGTATAATTAAAACAGGTTATTGATCAGGTAGCTGGGCTTTCTTTCTAAAAGAACTGTGAGAGAACACGAGATAGATTTGTTTCAATTTTGTTGTTAAACACACCCAAATAGGAAAATCTGTTAAATAATTGATAATTTGTATGTTTAAAAAGTTCTATAATTATAACAAAAATGCAGAAAAAAATTTGAAAGTATCTTCATATTGGTGATACATACTGATTGGTTGATTACATTTTGAGAATTTATATTTCATCAGGTTAATATTGTAGGCTCCCTACTGCCCCACGTTGCCCCCAAAACTTCCTTCTTGGTTCCCCACCTTCTTCCCTCCCCTTTTTATTGAACATGGATGCGGTTAACAGAACTTTGCCTTCTCGCTCCTATCAGGTTTAGTACAGTTCATATGAAGGTTTCAGTAAACATTAACTCCTTTTATCAGCACTTGCAGTGTGCTGAATGGTTAGCAAAGAGTGTACTGCAAGGGGCAGATGAAAATGAGAGATTCCAAGGTCACATGGATGATAGAATTTTAAAAACGGATTGAGAATTTTCTACTCCCATAAAGAGCCACAGCCTCAGAAACTCACAGGGGTAGTTCTACCCTGCTTTGTACGGTCACTATGAGTCGGTATTGACCTGATGGCACTGAGTTTGATTTTGAGAATTTAGGGAAAAGACCCCCAAGCTTCACACCTCTATGTCTCCTTAGCTGTGCGGGCCTAATGTTTTTTTTATACGGAGGCTAAAGCTGATTTGGTCAGATGCGCTATCTGAATGGTAAGGAAAGTGATTTTAAACATTGGTGTGTGTGTGTGTTTTAATCTTTCCCATTTTCCCCCTCTACTCGTTAAGAAGAAACATAATCGATTTATTCAGGACTGCTGTCTATGGGGTAAAGCTCTATAAAGGTCCCAGCAAAGAAGTAATGAATTTTTTTTTTTTTTAGCAAGGAGACAAGAAATACTATGTTTATTTATGTTATTGCCATGTTTTGGCAATGCTCAGAGCAATTGACAAGTAAATTAATCCTTGAAGATTAACAGAAAAAAAAAAGAAGATTAACAGGAACATTAGCACATATAGTTTGTAATTAGAATATAAAATTTTAAAGCAGGACATATAAAGCATATATAACATTAAAGGTGAAAGGGGGATTTTCCCCCTTCATGAACATAGGTGCTAATATCATGTCTAAAGTGAAAAACAAACAAGGACAGGCACTTATGCAGAATTTTCTTCTTAGTCAAAAGAGACTTTTTCTTACTGATTAATAAAACACAATTTCTTCCATGAAGAACTGGTCAGTGCTTTCTTAACACAGTAGGCCTGAATGAAAGTTCTGCACTCTCCCCTGGAATTTCTCTCACTACTCTGAGAAAACAAAATAGTTCTTACCAACATGGTGCCCATGATGGATAAAGGAAAGTCAAGTTAACATTTCCCTAAAACTGATATAATAGATTGATTTTCAAGTTATCTGCAAATAGGCGGGTTTGAATTATTTACAAAATAAACTATCATTTTTTTCTCAAACATTTAAATGAATACACTAAAGTCCTGGTGGCATAGGTGGTATGCATTGTGTTGCTAACTGCAACATCAGCAGTTTGATACCACTACCCTGCTCTGTGGGAGAAAGATGAGGATTTGAGTACCTTTTAACCACAGGGCCTCTTCTTCTGGCACTGTAACATATAATACTACATTATGATTCATATATTTGTCATTGGTTTATATTCCAGAAGTGGAACACCTGGTCTCTAGTACTAGCTTGCTCAATTTGGAATTTTTTCTGATACCTATTCACCATGGATAATACTGCTAGTAATTGACATACTTGGTGGGCATCTTTAAGAATAGCAACATGGAAGTTTTGACAGTGTGACTCACTGACAGAGTAATGGAAGACTGTAATATGTAGAGATTTGCGATCATGAAAACATAGTATATAATTGCTCCGAGAGAACATTAACGTAATTGTCTCATTTAACCAGGTATTCCCTTAGCCCAGTGACTGGTACAACTGTGTGCATTTGGTAAATAACAAATTAATTTGAAATAATGAAAATTTTCATACCTACTATAGCTAGGTTTGTGAAGGTCTCCACCATCACCTCTCTACAAAGTTGCTTCTGAGAAACATCCAGCAATGCCCATTCTTCTGTGATAAAATCCACAGCCACATCCTTAACAGTCACTGAGTCCTAAATAGCCAACACAATCTGTTTTATCTGAGGACTAAGCAGTCGAATACGTGTGAAAAGAAAGATGAAGCTTATAATCCTCAGGAACTTCTATTTCAAAGGGATTTGACACATGGTTGTATGTTCTATTAAATCTACCTTAGGGTTTAAGTATCATTCTCATTCTCTAACCATCAACATTCAACATTCTCTTCTCCAAAGATTTCATTTCTCTCGTGTCATAGATTTATCAATAGAATGGAACTTCAAAATTCTTGTCAAAACCTTATATCATCTTTAATTCCATTTTCTACTCACCACTTGAAGCCTCTAAAAGTCTGAAGTAATGAATTTTATTGGGGTGTTCGTTTCTCCAAAATTGTTGGAGACTGCCCTTAAATCTGTTTCATTTCCCAAATTAGCACAGTAAACCATAAAACAAGTGGTAGAAAAAAACCAAACAAGTGGTAGAATGAAATCTTGCTCCTTTAAAAAAAATCACATTTTAAAACATTTGCCTGGCATTTTAGAAAATAGGGAGTCATTTATGTTTTGTTTTTTACTTTCAAAATTATATGGAAGTTTTAAGAACTACTGACTTACCCCTTGAGGGGAACGAACATCAGAATTTTAGGTGAATAGATTCATTGGATGGTGTGAGTTATGACAAGAAAAATGCAACAACAAAAATATATTATTTATTAAGGGTTCAGGGGGGTGGCAGGGTGGGGGAGGGAGAGGATAAAGGGGAGCTGAATTCAAGGAGTTCAAGAAAAAAGAAAATGGTTTGTAAATGATGGCAACAATTGTACAACTACACCTGATCTAATAAAACTATGGATTGTAATACTAACTGTACGAGCTCCTCATATGAAATGTTAAAAAAAATACTGACTTACAGTACAGTGTCTTCCACCTGCCCCTTCTGTGCAGTCTGTTTGGAAGCACTAAAATGCAGCGCACCGCTGGCCATCTTTCTTGACTCCCTCAGCTGGAGAGGCGTGTGCAGATATGCCCACACTACTGTGGCAAAGAAATCGGAAAGTTAAAAGTTGTGAAGGGAAAGCAAGTTCGCATTTGAGAGACTGTCATTCAAACTGATGGCTGCCTGCGTTTGGAGATGGGCTTTTCTGTCCTCTTCTGGCCCACGTGTGTAAGCGCTGGGAGGCTGATGGTTGGGTGGTTGGCTTTGAACTGAGCTCCGCCGGCGCCGTCCGCTCGGCCCTGACCTCAGGGAAGGGAGCGGGCAGGAATCATCCCGAGACGAGCGGCGGAGGCTGGAGCCTGCCAGGCCCCACAGGCTCCAGCCGCAGAGCCATGGTGGAACACGAACTTCCCACCCTCGGGGGCAGGGTTGTCAGACCGCCGGCCGCCCGCAGCCGCTCGAGCTCACCCCCCTTTCCGAGGGAGGACGGCTGCTGGTCGGTGGTGCGGGGCAGCCCGTCGGTTGGCTGGTCCCTGGAACTGAGCATCCGGCCTCAGCCGCCCGCCCCCGCCCTGGGCCACCTTCTCCGGGAGCCAGCCCGCCCGCCCCCGCCCTGGGAGCAGCCGGTGGTTTCGAACTACTGATCTTGCAACTAACAACCCCACAGGTAGCCCATTGTTCCACCAGGGCTCCTGTCCCACGTACAGAGATCTATACATTTCCTTTGGGCTAGTGACATTCAGGTTTCTGTCATGGGTTGAATTGTACCCCACAACGACCGTACCGGTGCATTTGAATGCTGGTGCTGGTAAAGAATATTGAAAGTACCATGGATTGTCAAAGGAACCAACAAATATGTCTTGGAAGAAGTATAGCCAGATCCCTCCGTAGAGTCAAGGGCAGCAATACTTGGTCTCATGTACCTTGCATCTGTTGTCAGGAGAGACCAGTCCCTGGAGAAGGACATCAAGCTTGGTAAAGTAGAGGGGCACTGGAAAGGAGGATGGATTGACACAGTGACCGTAACCTTGTGCCAACGTATAGGAACAATGGTGAGAATGCCACCGGCCTGGGTGGCATTTCCTTCTGCTGGAAGTAGGATCGCTATGAGTGGGAACAGGCCTGATGGCACCTAACAACAACAACAGCCCTTGTGTTATTTCTTTAATTATAGCATCAGGGAACTGAGACAAGCCCCCATCACCAAATGGAGCCATCCCAATACAGCATGCATGTACTTTTGTTTTTATATGAGGGTGTTGTGTGTGTGTGCTGTGTGTATGTATGAATGTTGTGTATGTGTGTATTGTGTGCATTGTGTTCGTTGTGTGTATGCATGGGTGTGTATGTGAGTGTTGTGTGTATGTGTGTATGTCAATGTGTGTGTGCGCACATGTTAATGTGTGTATGTGTATGTGTTAATGTGTGTATGTGTTAATGTGTGCGTATGTATTCTGTGTGTGTGCATGTGTGTGTAACAAATGTTATTCACCTGAAGTGTAAGTGTGACAATAAACTCTATTCGTCTAAGTGTCAGGCCGTCTCAGGAAACTCAATTCCAAACCGGGGAGAATAATAATAAGGGTGGAAAAAAAGACATTTAGAGCAGCTTTTGAAATCCCCAAAGAACTCGGTTTCAACTGGAAGTGCTGACCTAAGCTTTACCACCACCGTACAAAGGGCCTGGATAGAATCAGGTTACCTTTCCATTTACCCAAATCTAACTCCTGGACACTTGGACTTCAGACTCCGAGAGCCGTGGAGTCTTTGCCCCAGCGTCCCCAGCAGAAGTCCCAAAAAAGGTGCCATTGGCTTGGCTAAGTCCGTTCTGCATAACCTCAGAGCATCCGAGAAGATGGCCAACAACAGCCCTGCACCCCCTGAAGGGCCCCAGACTCTGATGGCAGTCTGGAGGGCAA